TGGCCCTCATTTATATGGGGACCTCCTGGGGCTTGTGGTTCCTGTCACTGGGGGAGAGGGGGGTCCACACAGGTGGGAACATGCACAGGGAGTGCAGGCCAGGCTGGCTGCCAGCCCAGGACTGCCTCCTCCAGCGCCCCCCCCTCCCATATCCACAGCCACCACAGCCTCTAGTGCTGACCCTGATCCTAATACCCTGACTCTAGCTTAGAATTGGGGTTGGGATCTGGGCTTCTCCCACAGCAGCTCAGTGCTTGAGGGCCAGCCCTGTGACATTCTGAGCCTCAGGGGCCAGGCTCTGAGCAGAGAAGAGAGTGACCCTCCCCTCAAAGGCACAGGCTTATGAGGAAACTGCAGTGGTACCAGCCCCACAGCACCCAGACCCACACATGGACATCCCCTGCTTTCATATGTGCATATACTAAGTAGGTGCATGGCCTCCAGACCACCACCCACTCCCATTGGTGCACGGGGTTTGTCCTACTCAGGTCCAGGCTGTGCCTCTCTGAACGTGCACAGACACACTTACACACCCCAGCCTGCTTGCACTTGCACACACACCAACTGGCAGGTTTTTTTGTTTTTGTTTTTGTTTTTTTTTGTGGTTTTTTTTTTTTTTTTTTTAATGTTGGGAGACAGCCCTCACTGGTTTGGCTCAGTGGACAGAGCATCAGCCCGAGGACTGAAGAGTCCCGGGTTCATTTCTGGTTGAGGGCAAGTATCTCGGTTGCAGGCTGGATTCCCTGGCCCCACTTGGGCACGTGCAAAAGGAATCAATCAATCTCTCTCTCTCTCACACATTAATGTTTCTCTCTTTCTGTCTCTTCCACTCTCTCTAAAAATCAGTGGGAAAATATCTTCAGGTGAGGATTAACCAAATGGGGGTCAAAGATGTTTACTGTCACCCCTTGGGTAGGCTTGCCAGAAAACAGAAAACGTACAGGACATCAGTTAAATTTGAATTTCAGATAAACAATAATTACTTGAGCCCTGGCCCAAGTGTTTAGAGCATCGGCCTAGACTGAAGGGTTGCAGTTCGATTCCTGGTTAAGGGCACATACCTGAGTTGCAGGTTCAATCCCTGGTCCTGGTCAGGGCTCATGCCAGAAGCAACAAATCCATGGCTCTCATTCTCTCCCTCCCACTCTCTCTAAAAGTCAATGGTATAAAGTATCCTCGGATGAGGATAATAATAATATTATTATTTATGCATGGGGCTTACACTGAAAAGTTATTCTTTGTTTATCTGAAATTCAAATTTAACTGGCAGGCTGTATTTTTATGGGGTGGTTATGGGGGTTCTGAGCTGCCCTGGGGTTCGGGGTTCCCAGGATGCCAGGGCTCCAGCTACCTGACCAGATCAGAGTGGACACCTTTTCCCTCTCTCCCCTTGCCCCCCCCCCCCCAGCCTGCCTCCTCCTGCTCAGGGGAAGCAGAGGCCCCAGGGCTGGCAGTCAGGACCTGCCTAGTGTCTCCTCTGGGGTTTGGGGGTGACCCTGAGAGTCAGCCTGCAGAAGTGGGGGACTTCTCGGGAGCTGGCTGGAGGCAGACAAGGCACTCCTTAGAGAGCCAGCTCCCTACACCTTCGGCCCAATGCTTGTCAGGCCCCCTTCACGACTTGGGCAGGAAGAGCACTTACTACTAGTTTCTCCTTTTTTTGGTCATCACTTCCCAGGACCTTCTCTCTGCCCCAGGGGGCCTCAGGCTGGCCTCTGGCCCATCAGGGCAACCCTGAGTCCCCCTCTCTCAGGCTGGCCATTTTCTCTGGCACCTTTGGTGGGGAGTATCCTTGTCCTGGGCCCTGCCTGTCCTGCCCACCAGCCCTGGCTGGACCTGCCCCTTTCTGATTGTCACAGCCCCAGCCCGGATAGAGAAAACCTGCTGCCTAAAAACTGAGGGGGCTTGAGAAGCAGGGCCCAGGCTTCCTGCCTCACCTGCCTAGCAGGTCCTTCCACGCAGGGGCGAGTGGGATCTCCCTCCCAGAGGCAGGGGATATCCCTGCGGGCCCCAGGGAAAGCAGCGTGGGAAGGCCCAGCTGTGCCCCCAGGAACCTTCCAGTCCTCCTCCTTCCTCAGCCCCGGCACCTCTGTGGCTGGGCCTGTAAAGAGGACCATCTCCAGGAAGATGGCAGGTATTGGCTGTCTGGGGCTGGTGACGGCCTGCAGCAGGACAGGGCTGAGGCCTGAGAGCTGGCAGGCAGGGCACAGAGGTCCTTCTCCTTCCCCGATTCCCCCCAGCAGCCCCTTGTCGCTAGTGCAGGCTGGGCTGGGCTGGGCTGGGCTGGGCTGGGCTGGGCTGGGCTGGCTGCCTCACCCAGGCCCGCACAGCCACGGCGCACACACATGCCTGCCAGTCCCAGCGCTCAGCTCCTGCGTCTACAAGCCAAGGGACATCAAGGATGGTTGGCACCACCAGGATCTGGAAGGATCCTCCCACAGAACCTTCTGGCAAGGGTGTGGCCCTGCCAACACTTTGATCTCAGGTTTCTGGTCTCCAGAATGTTAGAGTATATATATATGTGTGTGTGTGTGTGTGTGTGTGTGTGTGAAGAATAGTTTATTGATTTTTAGATAGAGAGGAAGGGAGAAGAGAGAAACATCAATGTGACAGCACATCAATCGCTGCCTCTTACAGAATTCCTACCAGGGATTGAGTTTGAAACCATCATGTGCCCTGACTGGGGATCAAAGCAGCAACCTTTCAGTACATGGGACAACCCCAACCAACTGAGCCACATCAGCCAGAGCAAATTTATGCTTTTTAAAAATATATATTTTATTGATTTTGTATAGAGAGGAAGGGAGAGAGAGAGTTAGAAACATCGATGAGAGAGAGTCATCGATCAGTTGCCTCTTGCACACCCCCTACTGGGGATATGCCCGCAACCAAGGTACATGCCCTTGAGCAGAATCGAACCCGGGACCCTTCAGTCCCCAAGCCGATGCTCTATCCATTGAGCCAAACCAATTTCGGCAAATTTATGCTTTTTTAAGTCACCGTGTGTCTGGTACTTTGTTACAGCAGCCTCAGGAAGCTATCACACTTATACTGTGGTCGGCAAACTGCGGCTCGCGAGCCACATGCGGCTCTTTGGCCCCTTGAATGTGGCTCTTCCACAAAATACCATGGCTTGGGTGAGTCTATTTTGAAGAAGTGGCATTAAAAGAAGTTTAAGTTTAAAAAATTTGGCTCTCAAAAGAAATTTCAGTCGTTGTACTGTTGATATTTGGCTCTATTGACTAATGAGTTTGCCGACCACTGATGTATACAATCCCCATATGCAAGCACACACATACACACACACACACACACACACACACACACGTGCACCTGAACACATTTGCAAATTCTCAAACACATTCCTTCTTTTCAGCAATATCCAGTGAGTACTTCCTGTCTGTGTGCCAGGCCCTGTGCTGGGCAGTGGACAGAACTGTGCTCTCGTGGAGCTGACCTTCTGGGAAGGGGCAGTGGCCCATCTGTACCCACCTTACCATCCAGAAGTGTATGAAGACCTGCAGGTGATTACATAAATACAGGAGGAAGGGTGGCAGGAGAGAGGTGGGGAGGATGAGGAGGGACTCATGGCTTCTCCTGGGCAGGCAGGTCTGGCAGCCCCACCCCAGGCTCCTGGAGCCAATGTATGTGTCTACACACACACACACACACACACACACACACACACACACACACACACGGAGGGGCTGGCTGGGGAGGTTCTTCTAAAGGACCAGGGGGCTGGCTGAGGTGAGGCCTCACAGCTCCTATAGCCCGAGCTGTGGTTTTAGGGGGGCAGCATATAAATAAAAGCAGCTGGCAGAGAAGGGACAGTCCAGCTTTAGGTCAGCGGGGCCTGGGTGGCAGAGTTTGGGGTTGGGTGGCCATAAGTTTCTGGAGCTTAGGGAGCACAGGGTCTGAGGACTTTGCTCAACATTGCTGTGGGGACAGGCAGCTAGCCAGGGCTGACTATCTCAACCTGGGTTGGGTGCTCCAGCCACAATGGCATTGTTTTACCTCCCCGTCCCGGCTGCCCACCGCATCAATCCAGAAGAAACGCTCCTTTGCAGGACTGAGGAAGGAAGGATCCCGCATAGACCTTAGTACCCAGCCCCCACTGTGGTCCCTTTTCCCTGCCAACCACCGGATGGATGACCTCTGGGAGAGTTCAAAGCATGTTGTGTGCATACGGGGCAGCTGAGTCCTGGATGGGGAGCTGCAAGGCAGGTTCTAGAGCAGGAGCGCCGCCAGAAGGAGTCAGTGTATCCTAGGCCCCGGCCTGTACACTGGGGGAGCTGCCAGGGGGCGGGGCCGGGCTCCGCCTCTGTCTCGAGGCCCCCGCAGGAGTCCCAGAGTCTCAGACGCCCCCTCCCGTGAACCCTTCCCAGCTGACGCGCCCGGAGCCACGCTCGCCGCACCGCGCCAGCCGCAGAGCCACGCCCCGCGGCCACAGCGCGCAGCCGCACTCCGGCCCCGAGCGCCCTCCAGCCCCGCCCCCGCCCGCCGCGCGCGGGTGGGCGGGGCCTGAGGGGCGGGCTCTACGTTGGGGGCGGGGCCTGTCTTGGTCCATAAAGGCGGCGGCGGCGCTGCGCGCCAGGCTCCACTCGGCGGCGGCGGTAGCGGTGGCCCTGACCCTGGTGGATGGCTCTGCGGTAGCGGTGGTCGTGGCGGCGGCGGCACTGTTCCCCGCGCGGGCCGCGCAGCGGGGCCCGGGCCGCAAGTCTCAGTCGGCGGAGGCGAAGGGACAGCGCCTCCGCCCCAAGCCCGACCCCGGTGAGTGCGGCCCAGCGACCCCGGCCTAGCCCGGCCCCGACTCCGGCGCGGGGATCGGGCTCCGCGGAACCTCGCCGCCTGGGCCTGTCCTCTCGGGGCGCCGGCCGTGGCCGCTCACGCCCTCCTTTGTCCGCCCCCGCCCGCAGGGTCCTCTCCCGGGCCGCCCCCCGCCCCCGGGCCGCCCCCCGGGCCCTGCGTCCCCTCCCCCGCTGGCGGGGCCCGGACAGAAGATGGTGCAGAAGAAAACAGCCGAACTTCAGGGCTTCCATCGTTCGTTCAAGGTGAGGGCCGGGCTGGTCTGGTGGGCGCCGCGGGCTGGACTCCCTGAGCGGCCGGTGGGAGGGGCGCGGAGCTCTCCCTCAGGCTCCCCCAGGCCTGGTGCTGGTCCCCCCCCCGCCCCGCCTTGGCCTTAGCCTTGGGGCTGCCCCTGGCGTGCGTGCGGCCACAGGCCAGTTTGATGGACCCTCAGGTCCTAGGTCTTTCCTCTAGGAACCGAGGTGGGGGGGAGCCCTTGTCCGCGAGGCCCTTGGTTGTGTGCCCCCTGCAGACCTCAGCCAGGTGTATAGTGCTGGTGGGGCGTCAGCAGGCTACAGTCCTGCCCCCAGCCAGCACCTTGAGGTCTGTGAGGTCTGCTCTCCAGAAAGGCCAGACAGGGTTGCAGGTTCCTCCCCGGACTGACAAACAAACACGCCCTCCGAAGTGGCCTGCAGAGTAGGGGTATGTGTGGATTGGATGACCCCCAGACATGCACCTCCCAGACCCAAGTCCTGTTTCCTGTTGGAATGGGAAGTCTTTGAGGGGGGCCCAAGGCTTCCTAGTTCTAGTCTCAAATGAGCAAGTCTAGGGGGGTTTGGCAGGTGCTGGGCTCGTGCCCCATGGGGCCTGGCCCAGGGGAGGCAGTGATGTCAGCAGCCACCCCACCCTCCTGCTGAGTTATGTAATGGCTTTCCTGGGCCTCCTTGGGCAGGAACCTGTTGCCCTGTGTGTGTGTGTGTGTGTGTGTGTGTGGGCAAGTTGGACACCTTGCAATGTGGGAGGAGCCAGCCTGGTATGTTTGGGTTAGAATTCCCAGGCCTGTCCAGCCAGCATTCACCTGCCAGCGTCCCACCCAGTACACACGCCTGTCATCCTAGCTTCCACTCCAGGGTAGTGACAGCTTCGGCATGTCCCAAATGGCCAGGGCTGGGTGGAAGGGTGGTAGACCCAAGGTGTCACTGGTGGTGGTCTGTTAACTCCTGGGACTGTGTCTGAGCCCAGACAGGGTCAGTGGGCAGGGCCAGCTCTGCGGTCAAAGCAAACTCAAACTTTCTGGATGGTTCCAGCTGCCTCCTGCCAAGGCCTGCTGACTAAAGGCCCGCAGCCAGCCCTGGGCCTGGCCCGCCTACACTGCTTAGGCTTGAAGGCTGGCCTTTGCCGGCCACCCAGGAGCTGTGCATGCCCTGTGCTGAGGGGGGACTGTGGGAGTCCCCAGGGAGGGAGTGGGGGCATGGGACAGGGAACCTTGGCTCTAAAGTGGCCCTCCAGGGTCCAGCTCTTCTGAATTGGGGGCTGGGAGAGATGTACGGGATTGCTGAGGAGACCCAAGTTTGGCCCCTTTGGGTCCTAAAGCCTTTACTTGATTGTTGGGGGCAGCTTCCTGATGTCCACTCTCCATCCTCATCTCCCTTTGTGGCCACCCTGGAGTCACTCCTCCCAGGTGGAAGGACAGAGACTTATCCGAGCATTGACTGCAGCCCTCACGGGAGCCAGACTCCTCAATGGGCAGGAACAGGGACTGTGGGTGCGCATCAGCAGGCTGGCTTCAGTGCCCCTTCCTCCCTCCTCCCTGCACCTCCTAGCAGCTATCTGCAGGGTGGGTAGGGAGCTGGGAGGCCCGCCTGTTTTTCAGCTGCTCCCTCTGACCTCTGCCTGCACCCTCCGCAGCTGGCCTGGCTTCCGGGCCTCCTGTCTGAAGAATCTGGCCTGGCAGAGGGGGCCCCTCCAGGTCTTCCTCTCCTGGAGTCCTTCTCTGCTGGATGATTCTCCTGCCACAACCCCAGCCCCAGCTGTCACAAGGCCCCGAGAAGAGCAGAGACGTGGCCCAGGTCACCCAGCATCGGCCATAGCACCACAATTGTGTATACAGGCCCCCTCTGTGCCCACCAGGGCCCTGGCTGCCTGGTCCATCAGGATGTTGGGAGCTAACTGTTAAAGGAACCTTCTAAAGGCCAGGCCTCAGTGTCTCTCAGCCTTTATTGGAGGGACTGCCAGCCCCTATGCAAGGTCTTCTGCTCTACAGAAATGGCATTTATCCTAACGGCCTTCTGTTTGCCCAGCAGGCGATTTCTCCAATCCCTGGCATGCCTGTCCTTGGCCAGGACCTAGTGCCTCCCCAGTTTTGGGGGCCACCTAGTGATCTTGAGCAGGCACCACTCCGTCAGGGCTGGTTGCTTCACTGGGCACTAGGCCTGTGGGGTCTCTGGAGGTGAGTAGGACAGTGCAGGCTGTGGCCCAGGCAGAAAACAGAGCTAGAGCCTGTGGATAGCTTTCCTGTAAACCTCTGGGGATTGGTGAGACATGAGAAAGAGCAGCATAAGTCAGGAAGGGTGATGGCACCCCTTGACACAGGGAGGGCTGAGCCCACAAGGCCGTGGGAAAGCAGGCAGGGCAGCTAGCGGGGAGCCCCGCCCGAGAGCTGGTGACTCACCTCCCACTGACTGCTCTTTGCCTTTGATCTCCAGACTGCTGTCCCCATTCTGCAGGTGAACAAACCAAGGTGCCACAGTAACTTGCACCCCTCCTCCCTGCACACCCTAAACTTGTGGCCCCGAGAGCCCTGGCTGGGGGTGGAAGGGCTATTTCTTCATGGTCAGGCGAAGCCAGGCTTTCACCCCGTTGGCTTATGTACACAGGGCTGGGTCACTCTGTAATGGGGCATCCTGCCTGAGAGCTCTCTCTCTGCTACAGGGGCAGAATCCTTTCGAGCTGGCCTTCTCCCTAGAACAGGCCCACCCCGGAGAGACTGACTTCAGCCTGGAGTGCCCAGCCCGTCCTGGTGAGGGGCCTGGAAGGGAGGGGTCTGTGGGAGGGCCAGGTGGGGCCTGAGAGCCACAGGGGCCAAGTGGGCCTCACGCCCAGTCTCCTGATGCAGATATGCCCACAAGCCAGCCCATTGACATCCCAGACGCCAAGAAGAGGGCCAAGAAGAAGAAGCGGTGTCGGGCAACTGACAGCTTCTCAGGCAGGTTCGAAGGTGAGTGGGGTGGGCAGGGCTGGGGTAGGGGGAAGTGACTAGGTCGCCCAGGACAGCTCTCACCGCCATCTCTGCTCTCCAGATGTCTACCAGCTACAGGAGGATGTGCTTGGGGAGGGCGCCCATGCCCGTGTGCAGACCTGCATCAATCTCATCACCAACCAGGAGTATGCAGTCAAGGTAAGCACAGCACCCTCACCTGTCCCCTTACCTCTCCCCAGCAATGCCTGGGATCTGGCATTCAAACTCCTGGAAAGCCCCGGTGTCCAAAAATTACCCCTAGAATCCAGGTCAGCCTGGGCTGAGCCCCAAGTCGAGGCAGAGTGGGAAGTGACCATGAAGTTTGGCCCCTAATGCAGGTGGTCGCAGACCTGGTGCCAGAGTGACCATTGAGAGTAGGATGGGGGTTGAGGGGGCTTTGGTCAAAGCTAATGTTCATCTGGTGGGTTACTGCAGGCTGGTTTCTAGGCACAACTAGTGCTTTACCCTTATTGGTCACTAGGATTAAAAAGCAACGCCATACTTAGGGCCCAGGGGTCTCAGCATTTAGGGAGACCGGGGCAGAGCCTCCTCCATGCCCTTATGGCCTCTGACCAGGGTAAGCCTGGGAGCTGTGGCCCTGTGACCTCTGTTGTCTGGCGAGTCTGTTGAACCCTGCATTCCAAGGAACCTTCCAGGCTCCTCTCGTGACCCTGCATCTGAGCTAGGTGGGGTCATAGGAGGCTGGCTGTCCAGGCGGAGAGATCAGATACTGCCTGGCAAGCAGGGCTGACCAGATGCTTCAGGCCCTGGTGGAAGTACAGTGACCAAGGCAGCTGTGGTCCCTGCCCCCTGGAAGCTCCCAGTGGAGTGGGGGTGATGGTACTAAGAATGGGGTACCTTCTGAGTACCTGGTGTGTCTCTGAGTATCTTTCTCCTAAGGACCTGCTGGGCAGCCTGGCTTACTGTCACTGTGTGACAAGTAGGGAAATTGAGGCTCTGGGTCACACTGTGTCTGATCTCCCAGAAGGCCATCTCCCTCCCCTGAGGGACCACAGTATTCTCTATGAAGTAGGGTCCTAGCCAGATTCCCAAGGGACAGGATGAGGTTCAGTTTCTGTAGAAGGATGTGGCTGGTGGCTTTGTCTCTAGAGGCCCTGGAATCTGTTTTTTCTGTCCCTCTGGAACAGGTGTGTTTGTCGCTAGGCAGATGGGCATGCACAGGCCCAGGTCTTGGAGGTCGGTGGACTTGTGTGCCTGCCTGCTGCAGGAGCCTGGCCGGTGGCACATACTACAGTCCCTCCCTCTAGGCCACGTGGTGCACAGGAAACCTTGGGCATAGGGGTGACCCTGCCTGTCCACCCAACCAGCCAAAGGGGGCCCGAGGCACCTGCTACCTCCACCTCTCTCTGAGCAAGGTTGCTGGGGGGCCCTTGGGGAGGGCCCAGCACTCTCCAGTTCTTAGAGTTCCTGGGTGCCAGGAAGGATTGGGGACCTAAGTGTGTGTTGGCTTCCTGAGGCGCTGGGGTCTGGGAAGCTGTGTCTGCTGGTGAGCAGGGGGCCAGGCCAGTCTGGGATGGCCTGAAACACCCAGGCTCGTAGGGTCACAGACACCCACTCAGGCTGGTGTGGAACTGGGGAGGCAGGGCTTGGTGCAGAAGCAAGTGGCTATGGCATAGCTGGCAGCCGGATGCCTGAGGTCCCTCTAGTCCCCTGGATAGTGTGGGAGCCTGGTGGCCCCCAGTCTCTTGGGAGGTTGCTTAGTCCAAGGGAAGCTGACACTGAAGGAGTATTTTGCTGGACCCTCGGCCCCAAATATTCCTCTGAGGCTTTTTTCCATCAGGAGTGGATAGGCCGGCTCCTTCTCCCTGCCTTTCCTGTCTCGCTCACTCCTCTCTTGGTGCCACTTGACAAATACGTTGCCCACTGCTGCAGTCTGGCTGGCAGATTCTGGGTCCCCATAGGAGAACTCCGCTTTCTAGGTCTAAAGCTTTAACAGTTTCAGGTACAGCACAGGGAAAGTTTCTGTGGAAAGTCTGGCTGACAGCTGCTGTGTCTCCCCACCCCCACCTGTTTCAGATCATTGAGAAGCAGCCGGGCCACATTCGGAGCAGGGTTTTCCGGGAGGTGGAGATGCTGTATCAGTGCCAGGGACACAGGTAACGTGACCTGCCCTCAGCTCTGAGCCATCTTTTAGTGATGACTGGGCCTGGATGCCTCTTTACCCCCAGCAAGCATTGAAGGCCGGGGCCATTCATCTGCAAAGGGCCATTTGGCTATTTATAACATCATTCATGGGCCACACAAATTTATCAACTTGAAAATTAACCTGCTGCCTGGCTGGTTGTGGCCCAGTGGCTGGCATTGAACCGTGAACCAAGAGGTCATCGGTTCGATTTCCTGTCAGGGCACATGCCCAGGTTTCGGCTCCCTCCCCAGTAGGTACGGGCATGCAGGAAGTAGCCAATCAATGTTTCTGTCTTTCTATCCCTCTCCTTTTCTCACTTTCTAAAGTCAATAAACCATATTTTAAAAACCTGCTATATTTGGTCAAACATTTAATTAACTCATCCCTAAAGCCTTGGCAGGGCCAGGCCAAATGATTTCGCCGGCCTTAAGCAGGCCGAGGGCCGGATGGTCCCCACCCCTGAGTTAGGCCGTTGTGAATGGACCAAGTGTTAGGCTGGCAGTCTGAGGTGGGCAAGGTGAAAGCAGGCCTGTGGGCCAGTCCCAGCCTTCCTGGGGGCAGGTGGAGGTGGGATGGGCGTAGACCCCTCATAGCTGAGCATGTATAAGGGCCTTAGGAAGTCTCACTCCTGTCCTGCCCCCCTTCCCCATCCTAGGAATGTTCTAGAGCTGATTGAATTCTTCGAGGAGGAAGACCGATTCTACCTGGTGTTTGAGAAGATGCGGGGCGGTATGTGGGGCCTGGGAGACACCCCCAGCTAGGTCCTAATGGGCTGTGGCTCAGAGCCACCTCGGAAGACCTATCGGAGGGTCCTGTCCATCAGAGGGGCTTGTGGGCTCTGAGCTTCCTGTCCACACAGCAGTGAGGTCAAGGCAGAGAGGAGGCTTCCCTTCCAGGTGGGAGTGGGTGCTGGGCAGTGGCCTGGGACACAGAGTTAGTCTTACATGTTTTTTTCCTCCACTGTGACCCCGCCCCAGGCTCCATCCTAAGCCACATCCACAAGCGACGACACTTCAACGAGTTGGAGGCCAGCGTGGTGGTGCAGGATGTGGCCAGCGCCCTGGATTTCCTGCACAACAAAGGTGGCTGATGGGGTTGGCTGCTCAGGGTACCACCTACCTTTTGCCATCCCGCCAAAGATGCCTGGGTCCCATGGATATCCAGACTTGCCCCCAGTTCAGCTGCCCAGGACTCCCTAAAAATACACCCATCCCACCACTAACTCCCTGGTGGTTCTACCCACAGGCATCGCCCACAGGGACCTAAAGTTGGAAAACATCCTCTGTGAGCACCCCAACCAGGTGAGGGACGCTGGGGGGTGGCCTCCCCTGCGGATGGGGCTCTGTGCAGGCTGGACAGGCCCTCCAGCCACCTCACCTCATTTCACTGCTGCTTCCTAATCCCCTCCCAGGTCTCCCCCGTTAAGATCTGCGACTTTGACCTGGGCAGTGGCATCAAACTCAATGGGGACTGCTCCCCCATCTCCACCCCGGAGCTGCTAACCCCAGTGAGGATCCACGGGGTCAGGGGCGAGCTGGGAGGGGCAGGGCGAGGGGGACAGGATTGCATTCTGTCCAAAGAAGTGGCTTGGGACCTCCAGGGGAGAGGTGGGGCAGCTTGTAGTCTCCACGCTGGGGTCTTGAAACTCGGGATTTCGCTTAGCAACAGCCGCTGATTGGCCCTTCGGCTGTGACGGGGCGGGACCACGGTCAGGCAGGGCGGGGCGAGCCTCCAGCACCTGTTGATTGGGCAGGGCGGGGGTTGGGCGGGGCTGTGGTCAGGTGGGGGCGGGCTGGCACCCGCCGGCAGCCTGTAATGGGCCGAGCAGAGCCGTCAGTTACTGCGGGCACAGGCTCAGGTGACTGGGCGGGCCCTGGCCTCACGTTACACTGGAAAGTCCCCGGCCAGTGGCGTCCCCTCCCCCATGGCGCCTAGTCCTCACCGCTCCCCTTCTTCCCCGCAGTGCGGCTCCGCAGAGTACATGGCCCCTGAGGTGGTGGAGGCCTTCAGCGAGGAGGCCAGCATCTATGACAAGCGCTGCGACCTCTGGAGCCTGGGTGTCATCCTCTACATCCTGCTCAGTGGCTACCCGCCCTTTGTGGGCCACTGCGGCAGCGACTGCGGCTGGGACCGCGGGGAGGCCTGCCCGGCCTGCCAGGTGCGCGCCCCACCCTGTGCCGTCCTGAGGGCTGCGCCTGAGTATTGATCGCATCCGCAGAGTAATCTGGCCTGCCCGACCTTCCTGGGTCTCTCGAGGTTTAGGTCTCCTGCCTTGCAGCATAGAGCAGTTTGTTCAGGGAGCTGTGGTGGGGTGAGCCTGTGTTCTGTGCAGTATTTGAGGCTCAGGATTCACATGGGTCCTGGAGTCCTTAGGAGGTCGGCTCTCCTGACCAGCTGCCTCAGACCTTTCTCTCTCTCCCTTCCTCTGACTTCAGAGAGAGAAAAACATCAATAATGAGAGAGAAACATTGATCGGCTGCCTCCTGCACGCCCCCTACCTGGGATTGAGCCTGCAACTTGTGTGCCCTGGACCAGAATCAAACCTGGGATCTTTCATTCCGTAGGCCGATGCTCTGTCCACCGAGCCAAACCGGCTAGGGCCCCAGATCTTTCCTCTCCTTCCTTGGCCCCTCAGGTGCCCCATCCTGCCAGCTGATCCCAGGGCTCATCCCGCTGTCTGGGTAGTAACCTGGGTCCTTGCACCGGGTTCTTGGGCACCAGTCAGGCCTTAGCAGTGTCCCGGCTCCCTGGGGTCCAGGCTGGCCCATCAGATCAGGATGTGGGCCTCCACCCTTTTGGCTGCAGCCGCCCCTCCTGCGTGTGTTCCCCCAGAACATGCTATTCGAGAGCATCCAGGAGGGCAAGTACGAGTTTCCTGAGAAGGACTGGGCCCACATCTCCTTCGCTGCCAAAGACCTCATCTCAAAGCTGCTGGTCCGAGACGCCAAGCAGAGGCTAAGCGCTGCGCAGGTCCTGCAGCACCCCTGGGTGCAGGGGGTGAGTGCCAGCCCCTGGGGACAGCGGGCATGGGTCCTTGCCTCTGTCCAGTCTCTGTGGGCCGGGGCTGTGGCTCGGAACAAGTGCCGGAGAACCCTGGGGCCCAGTGTCAGGACTCTGTGGTGTGCGCTGGGTCTAGAGGTCAGTCACGGTTCTTTTCTGGGCCCAGGCTCAGTTATGAAATCTTCCCCATCTGCTGGCTGCAGGAGCTGCTTAGCAAATGCCTGGCCTGTGCCCTAGAGGCGAGCAGGCTCAGCTCAGCCACCGGGCAGACGGGTGGGTGCCAGCCTCGGCAGGACTCGATCCCCTCTGATCCCAGAAGAGCCTGGTGGTTGTCCTTGCCAGTGGTCATCCAAGCGGGGCCACCAGGGTAGAGGGCCTGTGGGAGAAAGGACTGCCTGCCTAAGCTAGCCAGTAGAGGGGCTCGGAACTCCTGCCGGGAAAATGGGGTGGGAAGGGAGGAGCTGGGTGGGAATGGTTAGGCGGGGTGGCAGGTGAGCAGATAGGCCTGGGAGCCAGCAGGGACCTGGGAGGGTTGGCCCTGGTAGGATGGGTGAGCCTGGCTCTGTTCTCTAGACCTGCTTCTCTGCTCTCCTTGCAGTGCGCCCCAGAGAACACCTTGCCCACGCCCATGGTTCTGCAGAGGTGAGGCCTGCATGGGGTCTCGGGTTGGAGAGGGGAGGTTAAAAGCTAAGGTGTTTAAAAAATACAAAATAAGTTATCTTTAAGTTGTAGGGGAAGCCATTGAAGAACTGAGTGTCCTTGTAGGGCGGTGGACTAGGTCCCAGGCTGGGGGGGGGGAGTGTTTGGGGCCATAGCCCCTCCTCCAGGACACTGCACAGACCCCGGGGTCCCAAGGGAAGCAGAGGGTGTACCTGGCAGCCACCTCCCCTTCCTTGGTGACTGTCCGTCTTGTCCGCAGGAACAGCTGTGCCAAAGACCTCACGTCCTTCGCAGCTGAGGCCATCGCCATGAACCGGCAGCTGGCCCAGCGGGAGGAGGATGCGCTGGAGGAGGTGGGACAGGACCAGCCCGTGGTCATCCGAGCTACCTCACGCTACTTGCACCTGTCCCCGCCGTCCCAGTCCAAGCTGGCCCAGCGGCGGCAGCGAGCCAGCCTCTCTGCAGCCCCCGTGGTCCTGGTGGGGGACCATGCATGACCCCTCCCTCTGTACATAGGTCACCCCTCCCCCATCAGATCTCAAGATTTTTTTAAGCTATTGCCAGCCAGTGACCAGCAGGCTGTGCTACACCCCACCCCACCCCACCCCACCCCGCCCCCCTTGGGTTCTGAGGTGCTGTGCTCAGCTCAGCTGGGGGGTATCTTTTTATATAAAGTTTTTGCTGTTGGGTTTTCCTTTTTTTTTTTTTTCTGCCCCCACCCCCATTTTTCCCTTTGAACGGTGTTAACCGTAACCAGGCACCTGGGAGAGAGCAGAGGGCACACGTGCTGCGCATGCCCCCCGGCCCCTGGCGTACGGGCTCGGCTGTGCTGTGAAGGCCTCGTGCCCGCGGGCCCTGCCCAGTGTGACTCAGGAGAGGAGGACATTCTGTCTTCCAGGGCGGGGGCCCGGGAACCACCTGCGCCCCTCTCCCTCCCTGCCCTACTGTTCTCAAGGCCAGACCAACCCTGCACCTCCTTTCACCCGAAAGGCACCCTGGTGGCCAGGGGGGTCCTGCGTGTGGGCAGGTGGAGTGAACAGCCACCCACATGGACCCACCCCACCTCACCCCACCCCTGATTGAGAACCTTAACCTTAAGCTGCAGCTGATGGGGAAGGGCTGCACCCATTACCACTACTCCCCACCCTCTCCAGGGGACTGTCTACGGGGTGGGGGAGGGGCACTGGAGGAATGGGAGGGGCTGGACTGGCACTCGTCAGCCAATATGGGGGACCCAGATCCCCCACCCGGGCACCCCAGTGCCCCTTCTCAGGGCTCAGTCTGACCATGGCCACGTCCTGCCCCCTGTCTACTCTTGAGTTGACACGGAAGCTCTGCCAGCCTGCCTCCTCCCCTGCCCTCCCCTCCCCTCCCCTCCGCAGAGCCAGGGCTGGCGCAGGTTCCCGATGAATCCCCGCTCCCCAGGCAGCATTCCTGCTCTGCCACCTTTAGGGGAATGCCTCCCTCAGGCGCCCAGGAGCCTCTCTGTCCGCCTCCCCACCCCAGAGTCCAGGTCAGATGTCTAGTGACTTCTGGGCTCGAGAAGACTGACGCCCTCTCTGTCCTTAGGTGGGAAACACTATGCAATACAAGCTTCCTCCTCCTCCATGCACGTGTTTCTGCCAGGGGCGGCCCCCAGCCCTCTGCTGGCAGCTCGGCCTGGGCTCTGGCTGGGTCCTTCAGGCAGGCCAGCTGGACACCCCTCTGGCATCTAGTTTTCATCTTTCATTAGTATTTTAAGAACATCAGTTGACTTCCTTTTCCTGTTCTTGAAGAATACTTGAATGTCAGGGGGCCTGGTGGGTTGGGGGGCTCAGACACTGCCTCCCCCCAAGTCTTGTAGAGTTGTTGCAGTCTGGGGCTGATGCCTGTCTGGCCTCCTGAATCTGGACTGGTCTTTCCAAAGACCCAGGCTGGGCGGCACCCCACCTCCATCATTTCTTGCCCATTAGTGATCCCGTGTGTCATGACTGGGGTTCCGCCTTTTTGTAAGGAGCTGGGGCCTCACTGGCTGCAGGCGGTGTGGCCACTTCAGGCCGGAAAGCTGGCTGTGAGCAGCATTTTCTGCTAAAGGTGGGACAGCTACTCACTTCCCCCATCGCATCTGCAGGGCACCTGGAGGGCTGGCCAGAACGTCACTGTGAAGGAGGGCCTGGGTCCCAGGGCGCCCCAGGCTGCTAGGCTGCTCTGGTGCTGAGGGAGGGGAACTGGCAGTGTTTCCATGTTAATATATTAAAAAAGACAATTTTCTTTAAAAGTGGGGGAAAAACATCCAAGCACTTTAACTCCACTGTACCAGGTAAACTGATACAGCTCAAAAGTTTTCCTTGACACCAACTGTCAATGCCGGAATTTTGTATTCTGTTTTATAAGGATTTAATAAAACGCATAAAAGCTCATTCTGGTTTTCTGCTGCTGTATAACAAGCTGTCCCAAACCGAGTGGCCCTAAGCCATTCACTGTCCGTGATGCTGTGGTTAGGATTGGTCAGGGCACGTGGGGTTGGCGTGTCTGGGGTCTGTGAGGGTGGGGGCCCGGGAGCCTTCTGCAGCCGGCTCCCCAGCATCATGCTGGAGGCTCATCCACATCAGTGCCCGGCCTTTAGAGCTGTGGCTGAGAGCAGCGTCTGGTGGAGCACATTGTGTTCACTCATCTGTCCGTGTTGCCAGTGTTGGCCTCAGTGAACCGTGCTTCTGTGGACATGCGCACAGGTTTTCACTCGTGGAAACAAATGGAAAAGGTTTCACACGTGGACGTGTTCACTTCTGGGTGGACACCACGGAGGGGATGTGAGCAGGGCAGAGACCTGATCGGATGTGGCTTCTGGAAGGACCATTCTTGGCCCGTGTAGAGTGTGGATGGGACTGAAGGACTCTAAACCATTGTCACCCTCTGAGCCAGTCAGATGAGGGATGACAAGCCTGGTGGGGGCGGTGCCCAGTAGATCACAAAACGGCAAACACCAGGCATGGTGAGGAGGTGGCCTGCCCGCACGTAGGGACAGCCTGGACGCGGGTGAGAAGGGGGCTCGGCTGTGGAGAGAAGGCACGCCTGGCAAGGGAACAGGAGGGGCTGTAGGTCACCCCTCCCATCTAGAAATCTGAGAGCAGCGGGTGGCACACCTTCCACCTGGCCCTTCAGTAGGAAACCCTGACACCCTTGAGCCTGTGCCCCGCCCCCTGCAGTTGCTCAGCTGCCTCCTGGACCCTTCCTCTCAGACCCCACAGCTCCCCTCCCCTGAGCCAGGCCACCACCGGCCCTTCCGGGGCGACAGCCCAGCCTGGTCTCCTGGCCCCCACTCAGCCCCCAAAGATCCCATCAGGGTTCCCCCGACCCCTCGCTTGTCCCTATCCCAGCCTGGCATCAGTGTGTGGGCAAGGAGGGGTGGCTGCCACATGCCAAGCCACCACCCTCCCAGGTGGCACAGAGCCCTGCCCAGCCCCACCAGGCCCTGCCAGTGACCGCTCCCTGCCCCTTGTCTCATGCCAAGCCCGGCAGCCAGGCACATCCTGTTCTCGGAGCCTCTGCTGCGGATTGTGTATGTTGGTGGTTTCCTCTCCGTAGATCCCGCCCTTCCACCTCTCCGCCGGGGGCAACAGGGAAATCCCGGAACTGGAGCAGCGGGGAGCCTGCCCAGTCTCCACCTGGGCAAACGCAGGCGCCAGGTTGGGCTCTCAGCGTCCACAGGCACTGGCCTCACCGTCAGAATCACATCAGTGACGGGAACTGCTCCACACGCCCCTTGACAAGACAATGGCAACGCCCATGTCCATCCCACGCTAAGAATAGGAGGGTCGGGCGGGGCGGTGGAAACTGCACTAATGGCACGGTTTTCCTGTGAACCTGAAACCTTTTTAACCCTTATTCAAGACACGTGTCATGTTCTTTTTTTAAAAAAATATATTTTATTGATTTTGTACAGAGAGGAAGGGAGAGAGATAGAGAGCTAGAAACATCGATGAGAGAGAGTCATCGATCAGCTACCTCTTGCACACCCCGCACTGGGGGTATGCCCACAACCAAGATACATGCCCCTGACTGGAATCGAACCCGGGACCTTTCGGCCCCCAAGCCGACGCTCTATCCATTGAGCCAAACCGGTTTTGGCAACATGTCATGTTCTGTTATTATTATATTATTATTATTATTATTGATTTTAGAGGAAGGGAGAGAGATGAGAGAAATGTCTATTGGCTGCCTCCCCTATGCTCCTACTGGGAATTGAACCCCCACCTTTGTTGTTGTTAATCCTTACCCAAGGATTTTTTTCTTCCCCATCGATTTTTTTAGGGCGAGTGGAGCAGAGGGGAAGGGAGACAGAGAAAGAGAGAGAGAAACACTGATGTCAGAGAGACACATCGACTGGTCGGTTGACTTCTGCACATGCCCTGACCAGGGTTGGGGATGAAGCCTGCAACCAAGGTACATGCCCTGGTCTGGAACTTGAACCCTCAACCCTTCAGTCTGCAGGCTGATGTCTAACCACTGAGCAAACCTGGCGAGGGCAAACCTCCCACCTTTTGGTGTATGAGGCAGCACTCCAACCAACTGAGCCACACTGGCCAGGGCTAAACCTGATTTAATTTATATAAAATGTCCAGAACAGGCAAGTCTGTAGAGACAGGAAGTGGGTTCATGGTTTTTGGGGGCTGGGAGGGATGGGGAGTGACTACTGATTGGGATGGGCTTCTTTTTTTGGGGGGGGGTGGGGGATGATGGAACATTCTGGAGCTAGATAAGAAATGATGAAGGGGGGCCACCGGTTTGGCTCAGTGGATGGAGCATCAGCCTTCAGACTGAAGGATCCCAGGTTTGATTCCGGTCAAGGGCATGTACCTTGGTTGCGGGCACATCCCCAGTGGAGGGTGCGCAGGAGGCAGCTGATTGATGTTTCTCACACTACCCCTCTCCCTTCTTCTCTGTAAAAAAAAAAAAAAAAAAAAAAAAATCAATAAATTAAAAAAAAATAAAAAGAAATGATAGTGATGGTTGCACGATATGGTAAATGTACTAAATGCCATTGAATTTAAAAGGGTGACTTTCTTCCTAATGAAAATAAAAAGGATGATGGGGCCAAATTAGTGTAGAGTCTGGTACACAGTAAGTACTCAATAAATGCACCAAGGAATGACTAACCACCCTGCGGGTGGGGTGGGACCAGCACAGGCACCTCCTCCCAGACGCAGGGATTTGTGCGAGCTTTCATCCCTGTCGTCCTTACTAATCCCCTTGACACGGTCCCTGTGAGTCACCCCACCTCAGCGTCCTTAATCTCTGTCTCAGGAGGAAACCTGGTGGTCCGTCCTGGACTTAGACTCACCGGAAGGAGGAGAAATGGGCGTATGTGCTTTTTAAAAAAATCCTCACCAAGGATATGATTTTTATTGATTTTTAGAGAGAGGAGGGGGGAGAAGCGAGGAGGGAAGGAGAGGGAGAAAGAAGCAGCAATGTATGAGAGAAACAGCGACTGGCTGCCTCCCGTATGCGCCCCAAGTGGGGATCAAACTGGCAGCACAGGCACAGGCCCCGACTGGGAATCAAACCTGCACCCCTTTGAGCTCCAAGCAGCCAAGCCACCGGGCCAGGGCTGAGGAACGGGTTAAAACGAAGTGTGATGGAATCAGTCAGATGAGAGGAGGGAGGTACCATAGTTCACACTTGATGGGATGAGCTGGGGCCAGGGAAGGGTGTGGACAGGTGGCTGGAGCCCGTGGCTCTGGTCCCCACTCTGGGCTGCACTCGTCCCCTCTGTCAAAGCCCCGTAGTGCCCCTCCCCGTGCAGGGTTTGGGGTTTGTGGGCAACCCTAGGAGATGCCTGGGATCTCCATCATGTCTTTCATGGAGACTCAGTTTCCCCTCATTCTCTCCCGTGCCTCAGTTTCCCTTTCGTGACCTACTGTGAGACTGCAGAAGGCTCAGACCCATGACAGAGCTTGGGGCCAAGGAGATTTCCGGGGTCTGGGGTCCCAGGACGCCCGTGCCAAAGGCCTTGGGAGATTTTCTAGCAAGAGATCTTTCCACCCTACAGGTGCTGGGGCCATACAAGGGTTGTGGGTTCCAGCCCGTCACTCCCGGCCAGAGGCCATTGTCCCAGTGACTCAACCCTGCGCAAGTTGCAGACCCTCATCCTGGATCACGGTCTCCATCTCCTAGGCTGGTTACCTCTTGCAGCACCAAGAGCGCATGGCAAGAAACCAGCTTACAACCTCCCCATTGGGGCCAAACCAGCGAGGGGTGAGTAAGATCCTTGCTTAGGCAGAAGATTTAAGGGAGCGCCAAAAACTGCACTCAGCGTGATAACACGTGCTGAGGTGTTTTTTAACGGCATCGAAAGCAGCTTTGCTAAAATAAATAAATAAATAAATAAAATAAATCCTTACCCAAGGGTATGTTTTTTTTTTGTTTTTTTAAAAATATATATATTTTATTGATTTTGTACAGAGAGGAAGGGAGAGAGATAGAGTTAGAAACATCAATGAGAGTCATCGATCAGCTGCCTCTTGCACACTCCCTACTGGGGATGTGCCCGCAACCAAGGTACATGCCCTTGACCGGAATTGAACCTGGGACCCTTCAGTCCCCAAGCCGACGCTCTATCCATTGAGCCAAACCGGTCTCAGCCCAAGGATATGTTTTTATTGATTTTAGAGAGAGGAAGGAAAAGGGTGAGAGACACATCAATTAGTTGCTGTACACACCCCAACCAGGGGCCGAACCCCCAGCCTGGGCATGTGCTCTGACCAGGAATGGGTCCCACAGCCCTCTGGGGCACAAGACGATGCTCTGACCAGCTGAGCCACACCAGCCAGGGCCGTGCTGTGAGCTTTGGCAGGAACTATTGTGGGGTCACATGCAGTTGCAAGAAATAACATTTTGTCCAGTTTTCCCCAGTAGTAGCATTTTGCAGAAACAATTACAATGTCACAACCGCCACGTTGACATTGCTACAATGCGTCTTATTGGGCAATGGCCACTTCCACTTGAATCCACTGTGTTTGCAGCCCCTTCCCTGCCACCCTCAGGTCTCAAAGCAAACAGGGCGTGTGTTTAACCTAAGGACACGCGGCGCACCCTCTGTTCTCACTGGGACATGGAAGCTTCTAAGACTGTGCTGTGGAACCGGGTTTTTCAAAAGAACTTTCCG